TTCGTCAAAAAGCATATGCGGTAATGATGAGTATTTCTCATAACCACCTGCGGGGGTTTTCACTTCCAAACAAAATTAAGACCATGCATGAAAGTAGAATAACCCAGCGAAATTTCAGCCTCGCACTTTATCTGGTAAACGAAATAGCCACCTCGCCACAAATATGTTTGAAGTGTCCTAAATGGTAGCGCAAATGCAAATCGGTGCTCATTTTATATATATGATTTCGCGTATGGCTAAAAATATGCTAACGAAATTTCAGCCATTGTTTTCCAACAAGTCTTCTAGCTAGCACAGTACCAAGTTGCGAACTTTGACGTGATCTTTTGCGCTGCACAAGCTTGCGCGACAGCTGGATTTGAAATACTTAGCTTGCACATGTACAGAGAATATCCTCACAAAGTTTCAGCTTTGTACTTTGCCTGGTTTGCGAAATCGTCTCTCGCCAAAGAAATTTGCATATTTTTTTCAGGGGTCCATACGCGAAGTCTTGAAGCGCAAGAGCGACAATTTTAAAACGGGAAAATGACACACGGGGTGGGAACATATACCCAAATTCCAGTCTCCCAGCTTCTCTGGCTGCTGAGATGAAAGTGGACGACGAAGTTCATTTGCTTCCGAACACACACACAGACGATCTCCCGGCAATATGCGTTTTTGCTGACTGTAGCAGCGCTATAGCGTAAAAGGAGTACATTTTGCGGATCTCATCATCGCTCTCCATCCTCATCCCTTTAAATGTCAGATCTACACTTGTCGATATGCGACCGATCACGGAATAAATTCACGACAAATATGCATGCTGGAGGTTAAGGTTTCGCGCCGCCTTATAAGCAGTGAGAGATGCCATCGCGACCATGCGAGAAAATGAGACCCAGTGGGCAAAACATACTACTATTCCTTGCAAATAACACTGAATACACAGTACGTTCTAGCCCCCCCGTCGCCCAACCCACCATAAATCTTCGAGACGCCCAACACAGAGACCGCTCAGGGAGGGCCAACTTTGAGAGGGATTTGGCGGTTTGCTCAGTGGATGAATGGCTTCGCGGCCAAAATGAATCGCTTCATGTTCACCGAAGAACAGGTACCGCGAGACCAAAGATGTGGGTTACAGCAGCCTCTCAATACAGTAAGACGACGACTGTCGTTATAGGAGCGACCATTTCAAAGTACCCGGATCCATGTAAAGAAATCGCCCCAAAATCAAGAAAAGCGCGTTGTACCGGATAGCCACAGACATCAATAAGTATGCCTGAAGTTACTGGACGCAGATGCCTCGGACACCGCAGCAGTCACAGCTTTATCCAACTGCTCCACTTTCCGCGACCCTCTCCGTCTGTATCTGGATATTTATCTACGTTTGGCTTACCGGATAATCAGAAACACTAGGAAGCCAAAACGGACTCTAGCTCACAGCAAACACCATCCCAACTGCGCCAAAAACCCACAGACAGAATTACAAGAGCACAAATGGCCGAAAGAGTTAAGAATGACTGCACCTAGCAGCGATTTGGGAACAACAAAGGCAAATGAATGATAACTGACATGCGGGCTCCCCCACGGTAATATTGGTGATCGCGATCTCCACAAAATCTTCGAGCCACAGCTTTAAAATAACTTTGATGGGCAGCAGAAGTTGCCGCACTCCAGAAAATCCAAAGATCTCGTCAAGGAATTTTAACCACCGCCAATGAAATTTTAACCACCGCCAATCTTTGGCTAGAAAATAATTTAGATCCAGGCTGGAACGCACCAGGCTCTCCGGTGCGATCATGCGCTTTTGCACTAAACTCACAGGCCGCTATTAGCAGGAATGATCCCTACGCTACAGCCTAACATTTGGGTCATATTGGCGTGCTTTAATCCTTCCCGGCATGCAGGAGGAAGAGCGTCAGATGGAATGAAAGTAGTGCATTATACAGCCGTACGGACGTCCAGATGCATGGTTACCGGCTTTTTGCATGAAGTCCGGTCGTTTTTTCGGTAAATGCTCGTTTTGTGAAAAAGTGACAAATGCAAATTTTTTGAAAAAATGCAAATTTCCGGTTCGCTAAAAATTGGAATTACTGCTCGAACGGTCGCTTGTCAAAAAATCCATATTCATTTACATACACGATTGCGGTTCAAGTCCGAGTTGCGAACGACTTTTGGGCTGAGGAGCTGCTTGAAGCTGTGGTTAGGGAATTTGGCTGAGTTTAAAATTTTTGGCTCGTACGTGCATAGAGAATATCCCTGCAAATTTTCAGCTTTGTACCTTGCCTGGTTCGCGAAATCGTTTCCTGTCAACATATTTCTTTGGGGGTCCCGTACGCGGGGTCAAGACGTGTATGGGGATCTTAAAACGGGAGAATGACGCATGGGGTAGGAACGTATATCCAAGGTTTCAGCCTCCCAGCTTTCCTGGTTGCTGAGATGAAAGTGGCAAAATGCACACGCTTCCGAACACACACACACACAGACAGCCTCTCGAGAATATGCGTTTTTGCTGGCTGCAACAGCGCTGCTATAGCGCTGCACAGCAAAAACGCATGAAAATTGACCAATGAGCGTACGATACCCAGCATTCGTTCACTGCACGTCCCTGTACATCTTTCTACCTTCTCCTACTTTTTTCCACCTTTGTTTACCTTCATTTTCGTATTAAAAATTGAACAATGAGCACACGAAAAAGAACAGTTTCTTTATTTTCGTATAACAAACTGAACAATGAGCATGCAGAGATGAACTGTTTCTTAATTTTTGTATAAGGGATTGAACAGTGAGTGTACAAAGATGAGCATCACTAATTTTCCTGAACATCAACAATTTCCTGAACATAAAAATTCTACTGAGAATAAAAAAAACAAAAAATTTGTCCTCAGCATCACAA